AGGTAAGGTAGAGTTGGGGTAAGGGCCGTGGGACGGGCTGGAGTAATCGTAGCCGTAACCGTAACCGTTGACTGCTGCAGAACAGAAATGCAGTGGCCCGTACGCAACAGAGTGCTCAGTAAGGTCGTAAGGTTGAGTTGAGAAGTATGAACCAGTGATGGCGCTCACCTCAATCCAAGGTGGTCGTTCACGTGTCGCAACGGCATGAGATGAGGGAATGAGCTCGGGCGGCGGGCGGCGGGTCTCTTGGGCGGGTTTTTGGGTTTGGGCGAATGCGGGACGTGGACAGGCGTCGTTGTGGTAGTGGTGGTAGTGGTGGTGGTGATGATAGTGGTGGGTGGACAGGTAAGGCAGGCACGGCACGGTATTCGTACGGAAGAGGAAGGGACTGAACAGGGCCAGTTTAGAACCCGAATGCTGCACCGCCCATTGAACGTTTCCAGGCTCTTATTAGTGCACCTAGGTTCTTGGTGCAATGGCAGTCTGTCCTGTCCTGTCGTGTCAAATTTTCTCAGCAGGGCTGCAGTAGCAGTAGCAGTAGCTGTCGCAATCGCCAGGTGCAGTTGCGGTTCCACGTCGCGTTGCTGCAGCAGGTCTCGCTGTTTCTCGTTTCTTAGTCGTCGGTCCCTTGCTTCATAGTTCGTTCTACGCCTTCCATCGCCGCCAACACGGCCTGCCTTCCTTGTCTTGGCCAGGTGCTGGTGGGCTGGCCAGACCGGCAGGTGCCACTAATGCTGTGGGTGCTGCCTGCCTCACTTTCATTCAAGCAGGGCGGTACCTTCCGCGGTTGGTTTCCCATATCGAATCGCCTCAGGTAAGGAAAGGTGGCTTGAACAGCTGCAGTTATCCTTTTACAGCAGCATTCAGCACCAAGTATGGCGAGGGGCATCAGCATCGGGTGGCTGTGGCCAAAAGCATGCTGCAGCGCCTGCAGGCGGGAGGCCCGTTGTGATAGGACGCGGCGCCGCAACGACCGAAACCAAAAGAATGGGAGAGCCTGCATCTTCGGCCGTCCAGGAAGGAACACCCTAGTCTTAGTCTCCCTTACCGGCATGCAAGAAATCCAAACCTGCCACGTCGTATGTCATCCCGCGCTCTCCACGTTCTCTGACTCGCATACCACCAACTTGAGGGCCTGGCTTCTACCCGAGCTTCTTCGTCTCTCATTTTTTGGCCATGTTTTCTTATTTCTGCCCCATGCCTGGATGACATGACACCCGGCTCACTCCCGATATTGGGACCCTAACCCTGGCTTTGGCCAACGTTACCGCCAACAACAAACCGCCCTGCCCGGTCTCTTGTCACCCTCGTCCATGCACGTCACTAATCGAATCCACCGTCCGATGACACTCTGGGAGCTCGACGCCCGATAAACCACTGTTCGATCGAGATCGAGCCCCCGTCTTGCTGAACCACCGCCTAGCCAATCAGTCTTCCTCCTCAGTCTTCGGAGCCGGTTCCAGCATTCTACCTACCTCCTCCCAAGACCTACGCAGACCGCTCAGGTACAGCCATCACGGACGAAACAACGGCCCAGAGTAAACCTCCATGTCGCGATACCCGCCATCCGTCCAAACTCACTCGGATGCCCGCCACCGGACTACAACTCTCTCGCTCCCAGAAACCAACATCCGACACTTCCGACTCCCGCCCCGTCCGCATAGCCCAAGCCGCCCTACGTCCATTGCCTCAGACTATCAGGAACGGCTTTTACGTCATGGACAACCGCAATCTTCTGCCCCTCGCCATCTCCAAATATTAACTCCGCGGCTAATATACGCGTCTGGCTTTGACGTGTTCTTGCGACCTAACGATGTGACTCCCCTCAGTGGACCAGTGGCCTGACCGGTTCCTCGATCTGATGGATGTTCCTGGTGTAACTCTGGATCTGGTGTTTCGACCTGTCGCTCAGGTGGTGTGACAGCCAGGTTCAGGGTCCATGGTATTTTGGATTCTGATCTTCTAAAGCCCATATCGGTGGTCTGGTATACCTCCAATGCTCAACCGCGAGTTGGCGTCGCTTAATAGCTCTGCACACTACTGCGGGATATTTGGACGGTCCCTTTGATGTCCCCGATAGAGTACGTCGCCCAAGGCCATTGTTCACTTTCAAGAACCGAAGAATATGGGCATCATCGAAGTTGGCATTTACTGCCGGAGACAATCTTGAAAGTCCCCAGAACAGCCCCGAAATACGCGGCTGGCTTACACGCTAATTAACCTGGGTTGAACATCAGCGCAACTCTCTGTGCGCACTGGACCCTCCAGGATGCTCGTTTTGCAACGCAGTCTAGATAACCGGTGGGCAGGCACTTGGACCCTGAGCTTTACCTTACTGACGATAATAGCAATCCTCGCATGTGCTGCGTCCGTTCCCCTCAACTCACGAAGTTTGCCCGGAGGTCTCTTTTCCCCTCTGCCATGACCCAAGCTTGCCCGGAGCTTATTCCGGTGGGGATCCACAGCTCAGCGACATGCCGCCAAGTTCATGCCCTCAGATATAGTACCAAGCATGCAGTTCATGCCTTGAACTGAGCTATATAACAAGCGCCCTCTTATACCCAAGGTGTAGCGGTCGCGAACATCACTTCTAGAGCAGAAAGTCACTAGACCTACGGAACTCAACATAGCCGTGGGTGTGTTCGGCGAAGTGCAGCCGGATCGTATCTATGAGATACTGGGTACGTTATGGAATAGACGAGGCTCGACCTCCCCAAGGCGAACCTGCTATCCCACCGTCTGCTCGGACTCGCATGGCGGATGCCTCTCATCCGGTCTACGTCGCCTCGCTGGATAGTCTCTAATGTGGTTTTGGTGAGAGCCTCGCCTCTGCAAACTTACGCCCAAAGCTGGACCGCGTTGCGTTTGATACCTCGAGGCACAGGAAGGCGTAGACTATACTCAGGCATGCCATTCGGTGCTCCGGTTGCACCCCCCGACACGACCACCAAACCAACGATATCTACCAAGCGCGGTAGGAAGCGTTCAGATGAAGCTTACATGATATCTTTCGGTGGCTGAATCACACGCGGCTGGTAAGCTTTGAGTTTAAATCTGCCTCCTCCTTCTGTGTTTGTGTGTGTGTGTGTGTGTGTGTGGTCTACCATCCGTATCTTGGGGCTTTCAATTTTTGATGGTGTCCATGGCGGAACATGTTTTGTTGTAGGATGGTTTGGCTGAGAAGCATGTCATGATGGAGAGCGGGAAGTGGTTAGTCGATTTTTGGTCGGTGAGCTGTCCGAAAAACAGTACAGGCTATTGAAATTACTATCGAAAGCCCTTGGATCATCCCATTCTGGATTTGCAGCTGCTCTAGGCTTCTGAAAGGCACAGCGGCAAGTTCTCTATTCTATGACCATAGTATCGGACCTTGAGATACAAACGCGACAGGATAAGTCACGGGAAAAAAAGAGCAAGTCGGTCTCGCGAAGTCCCCACAACAGGTGATTTCTCGGAAGAAAGCAATTAGCTGCAGTTTATTCAGCCTTCTTCAATGCCTTGAGACAAAATACAGGCAGGGAAATACACGCTTACACTCACGATCTTGCATTTTCCTAGGGATGTTGTTATGGATCAACTTACGAAATTACATGGATTGGTTCGGTGTCAAGACCTCGATCATTAGGAGCTTCCCATCTGCTTCAGTTATGATCAATGTCCATAATGGAGATTGGCGAAATCACCAACACCAAACCCATCATCCTGAATCAACTCACTTCTCAAAGCACTGATCATCAGAGAACACTCGGATACATCAAACCACATGTGTTGGCACTCCACCCGTGCTGGTCTTCAAAAGCATGGAAAGCGCTGGACTAAACACCCTCGAAACTGATGATTTCAATGACAATGCGAAAAGATTGCAAAAAGAAATGCGTGTTCCGACACCGAGAATCGAACTCGGAGCTCTCCGGATCTTCAGATGCGATCTGATGAAAGCGGAGTATGTTAACCATTACACTATGCCGGATTGATGACTCAGGAGGCAAACAATCATGTTAAGTAGGGTACCCCGCGTTGCTCAATCGGGCATGGGCATGATGGTGGAGGATGGGGGCTAGCAAGGGAGGACGCTGTGGGGCTTTGTGGGCTCCATCATGGCCCCCAACGCGAATGCACCCGATAAGCTTACGACGTGGGCTTCGGATCCGTAAGCAAACGATAGGAGGTGGGCCAGCGGCGTAAGTCGTCTGGGCTCTTTGATGGTATTTTTGTCGGGGAGAGTTGCCATCAGACTAGGGCTGAATTGCCGCGGTGAGAGTTGCCTTGACTCGCGAGCGGGCTCTCTGTTGTGTTAGGGTGAACGACACCTTGAGGGCGTGAGCTGGATCGCTTGAGAGAGTAACACGGGATCGGGATCGGGATGAGCTTCCGCTGCCTTCATCGGACCCAAGCTAGCTCTTAAAAAAAACGCTGCCGGCATCCAAGTTGTTAGTCCTTTGGCTCTGTTTTTTTAGTAAATAATGCTATTGTTCGATTGAGGACGACGTAGGCAGAGGAGACTACATGAGCGACAGTAAGCACGACGACGACGACGACGACGACGATGACGACGACGACAACGACGGCGACAGCAATACCACTCTTGCTCGAAACAACTCGTCGCGGATGCACTCCTACCTAGAACGCATCAGTATCGAATACTACATCAACAAGAGCTGTTACGTGAGTATCACAATTTTGGTTGTAAGATTCGACAATAACAACATCCAAAATCACAAGTGAAGATGTACGTATGCACACTGTTAATATTTCAGATATGTACAAATATGGTGTAATCCAAACAGCCACTCTAATAACCAAAGGAGAACATTCCCGCACGAAAAAGGATCGCTGAAAAGGCATGTTTTGTAGTAAATCGGGTTAAATGAAAGAACCCTTTCCGGTTTCCCGCTTCCGCGCCGCTGTTGTGCCACCCGACCTCGCGGTCATTCTGAATCATTTCTTCGTACTCCTCAAATTAACGACTGCGTCAACTTTTATGCTTTTTTGGGGAGAGTTTAAGCCTGGGCAGGCTTCACCCGGCTGAAGATCTCGCCGGCGGTGCGCTTGACGATACCACCGGTGACGGGGAGACTGGTGCACTGCTCGAGGAACAGATCAATCTCGCGAGCAGCCTGGCGACCTTCGTTGATACCCCTGCAGATTTGTTAGCTGACTGATCGAGACTGACCTGGATGCAGGACGAGATAAAACTCACCAGACGATAAGGGACTGGCCGCGACGGCAGTCACCAGCGGCGAAGACGCCGGGAATGTTGGTGCTGTACTTGCCGGGAGGAGTCTTGACGTTCTTGCGAGCGTCCTTCTCAATGTCGTCACCGAGGATGCGGGCCTCGGGGCCGAGGAAACCCATGGACAGGAGGACGAGGTCTGCAGGGAAGAACTGCTGAGAGCCATCGATCTTCTTCATGTCCCAACCACCAGAGGCGGAGCGAGTCCACTCAACGCGAATGGTGTTGATACCCTTGACCTTGCCAGAGCCGTCGTCGACGAACTCCTCAGACATGATGCAGTACTCACGGGGGTCCTTGCCCATGTGCTGCTTGACCTCAGTGTGGCCGTAGTCCACACGGTAGATGCGGGGCCATTGGGGCCACGGGTTGTCACGGGCACGCTCCGGGGGAGGCTGGGGCAGCAGCTCGAAGTTGATCACGGACTTGGCACCGTGGCGGACGGACGTACCGATACAGTCGTTACCGGTGTCACCACCGCCGATGACGATGACGTCCTTGCCCTTGGCGGAGATGTAAGAGCCGTCGGCGAGCTCGGAGTCGAGGAGGGACTTGGTGTTCTTGTGAAGGAACTCCATGGCGTAGTGGATGCCCTCGAGCTCACGGCCCTTGATGGGGAGGTCACGGGCGACGGTGGCACCAGTGGCGATGACAACGGCGTCGTTCTCAGCCTTGAGGTCCATAAGCTGGATGTCCTCGCCGACGGCAACACCGCACTTGAAGTTGACGCCCTCGGCTGCCATGAAGTCGGTACGGCGCTTGACAATGCGCTTGTCAAGCTTCATGTTGGGAATACCGTACATGAGGAGACCACCGGGGCGGTCGGCACGCTCGTAGACGGTGACGGTGTGGCCGGCACGGTTCAGCTGGTCGGCAGCGGCCAGACCGGCGGGTCCGGAACCGATGATAGCAACCTTCTTGCCGGTGCGGACATCCGGAGGACGAGGAATCATCCAGCCCATCTCGAAACCACGGTCAATGATGGCGCACTCAATTGACTTGATACCAACAGGGTCCTCATTGATACCCAGGACACAGGCACCCTCGCAAGGAGCAGGGCAGACACGACCAGTGAACTCGGGGAAGTTGTTGGTCATGAGAAGACGGTTGAGAGCGTCTTGCCATTGACAGTTGTGCACAATGGTGCGGTTTGCGAGCTGATACAGGCCGCCAGAAACCTCAATAGCTCTGAACTCTCCATCATGAGGCTCTGAAACTTCGAACGTGTGGGCATCCCAGTTGATGGTATGCCCGCCTGTCTTCAGACTGCCAAGCTTCTTTCGAGGGATAAGAAGATGATGCTGGAACTTCTCGCAGCCTTTGAACATGTCGAACTCGAATCTCGGCTCTTTTCTAGCCTTGATATCAGACTGACGGACGGGCGAGCACATGATGCCGCAGGAAAGAGCCAACTTGCGAGCATCTTCAACAATCTTCTGGTGCTCGAAGGTGTTTTGCGTGAACCGATAGAATTTGTTGACGCGATGGCCATCAGACTCAATCAAGCCTGCAAGCACAGCCAAGCGAGTATCTTCGTCAGCGTTCATGTAAGCGTCAGGAATGCCTGCAGTCTTATCCTCGCCAGTGAAGCCCAAGTTTCGTAAACCTGTGTAAATAGGATTCCAGAAGCCTGGACCTCTCTTTGAAGAAGAGATCCTCCAGTAGTACACATCAGCCGTACTAGTGATCGTAGAGGGAGCCTCATCGCCGACAGGAGCCAATTCTGCTGTGTAGCCTGCCTGATGGCGAATCTGCTCAGTAAAGAGCAGAACAGGCTCACCTTCAGGTCTCTGGCGGTTCAGGCGGTCCACATAGGATTGGACATAGGCCTTTACCTCCATATCAGTGCTGGTTATGCCAGCAGCATCCTTGGTACCATCGCCAAGCCAGAATCCAAAGTAGTATGGATCAACTGGAACAGAGGTTGCTGGTGTCTCAGAAGGGACAAACTTCAAGGGAGCTCGGTAAAGTTTGAGCTTTCGGTTGGACTTGTTGCTCACATTAGCACACGAAGCCTCGTACTCTGCCAGCGTCATGGTCCAAGTATCGCCGTTCTGAACAGCATGGGGATCAACAGTGCGGAAATGATCGCCTGAAAGCAAGTCTAGAGCAAGACGAGCTTGATCTGCATTCTTGAAGCGAACCTGGTACTTCTTGAATGCTCTGCAGGGCCCATTAGCATGGGTGCACCGCGGCGAAATTGCCTCGCGAACCGCAGCAAACTTCTCCAGATGATCCTCCTTACGGACCATCTGGACAGTGTCTGCAAATGAGCTGCCTTGAGACTGCTGTGAATCTTGTGACTCCTGAGACTCCTGAGTTTCTTGCTGGGCTGGAGGAGATGATGGAACTGCGGTAGTCTGCCGGTATGTAGGGTCAGACGTGTGTGTTGATGAAGGCATCCGCTCAAGCGAGCGGAACTTGCGTGGACGGAAAGCGTCTAGGTCAATCTCAAGGTCGTCGTCATCATCAGGAACCTCCTCTTGCTCAGGCATGAGGTGCTCGAGGTAATCATCCATCTGCTCATGTAGGGCTGCACGGAACATCGGCTGCAGGCTTTCATCATCAAGATCTAAGCAGGTTAGCAGCTTATCAAATAATTGAGATAGATAGTGAAGTCCAGACTTACCAGCTAGCTCCTCCAAGGGAGAACTCTCCTTGAACTGCTTAAAGACAAGGAAGAGACTATCATTCGGATCTGAAGTAACAGCAGACCACTTATCCACAAGTGCATCAATGAAGGCGTGGACGTCAGCATCAGTAGGGCGAAGGGCATTGCCCTTTTGCGCGTCAGAGTAAAGACGATGCATCAACTCATTCCACTTGAGATCTGTGACCTCTTCCTTAAGCTCAGTCCGATCGCAACGGGTGTACCAAACCACAACACACCCAAGCTTAATAGTAGGCTTGACACCATACGACTTCATAGACATGATATGGTCTGAAGTGCATTCCATGGTCGTGTTGGTCTTCGAGTTCCATTCCTTGTATGTAATAGTCCTCATGGTAGAACTTGTCTTGATCTCGCCCGCGGCCAGACAAAGCACAGGCATGTCGTTATGATCGAAAAGCTTGTCGCCAATGTTGATGTCACGAATCGTCTTTTGACCTTCAACTGTGCGGACCAAAGTTTCAGGTGATAGACATTGAAAGACCAATTCGTTCCATTTGGGGATGATGTTAGAGATAGGGCAACCCGTCTCTGACTGGCAGAAGGGGACACCGCAGTCCATGCAACGAGCAGATTGGTACTTGAGCTCGTCCTCGTCGAGACGGGAGGAGAGCTCGGCCCAATCCTTGGTACGAGTCTTGGGGTTCCTGTACTTCTCAGCACGGCGCTGGTACTTCATGAAACCCTTGGTCTTGTCGAGGACCAGAGCGCGCTTCTTCTCGGCAGCGTTGTCGCCAATGGTCTCCTCGATGTCCTGGAGCTTAGCGGCCTTCTCCTCCTTCTTGGCGGGAACGCCAGAGATGACGGGAAGGTTGTACTCGGCACGCTTGGCCTCAGCGGCCTTGGCGGCCTCCTCAGCCAGGACACGCTTGTAGTCAACGGGCATGACCTTGACGAAGCGGGGCAGAGCGCGGTTGAAGTCGACCAAGATGCGGGCAGCAAGCTCGGATCCGGTGTAGTGGTGGTGGTCCTCAATGAGACCGCGCAGGTAGGCAATCTCAGTGGGCTCCTCGACGGCTTCGGCCTCAACCATCTCAGTGTTGAGCTTGGAGAGGAAGTCCTTGTGAATGTCGAGAACGTAGGCGATACCGCCAGACATACCGGCAGCGAAGTTGCGACCAGTGCTGCCAAGAATGACGATGCGGCCACCAGTCATGTATTCGCAACCGTGGTCACCGACACCCTCGACGACGGCGGTGGCACCGGAGTTACGGACAGCGAAACGCTCAGCGGCAACACCGCGGAAGAAGCAGGTACCCTTGGTAGCACCGTACAAGCAGACATTACCGACAATGATGTTCTCCTCGGCCTTGAAGACGGCAGAACGGGGAGGGTAGACGATCAAGCGACCGCCAGACAGACCCTTACCGACGTAGTCGTTGGCATCACCCTCAAGCTCCAGGGTCACACCAGGAGCGAGGAACGCACCGAAGGACTGACCAGCGGAGCCCTTGATATTGACGTGAACGGTGTCCAGAGGCAGACCATCCTCGCCGTAGCGCTTGGAGATATGGTATGAGAGCGAGGTACCCATGGCACGGTCGGTGTTGACAATGTCACACTCGATTCTGGAAGGCAGGCCCTTGTCCAGAGTCAACTCGGCCTCCGAGATAAGCTTGTTGTCCAAGCGGACGTAGAGCTTGTGATCCTGCTTGCGAACGTTGAAGGTGGCAACACCCGGGCGGAGCTTGTGAGCGGGAGTCAGGAGCAGGGAGAGGTCGATGTTGGAGGTCTTCTTCGTGCGGAGGTCATCGCGAACCTTGAGAACCTCAACATGGCCAACCATCTCGTTGATGGTGCGGAAACCGAGCCTGGCCATGATAGCACGGAGCTCGTTGGCGACGTAGTAGAAGAAGTTGATGACGTGCTCGGGAGTACCGGTGAACTTCTTGCGAAGCTCAGGATCCTGGGTAGCAATACCGACAGGGCAGGAGTTCAGGTGGCACTTGCGCATGAAGATGCAGCCCATGGCGATCAAAGGAGTGGTGGCGAAGCCCCATTCTTCGGCACCGAGCAAGCAAGCCATGGCAACATCACGACCAGTGCGGAGCTGACCATCAGTCTGCACAACAACACGACCACGGAGGTCGTTGAGGACCAGAGTCTGATGAGTCTCAGCAAGACCAAGCTCCCAGGGAAGACCGGCGTACTTGATACCAGTCCAGCGGGAGGCACCGGTACCACCATCATGGCCGGAGATCAGGATGTGGTCGGCCTTGGCCTTGGCGACACCGGAGGCGACGATACCGACACCAACCTCAGAGACGAGCTTGACTGAGACACGAGAGCGAGGGCTGGAGCACTTGAGGTCGTAAATCAACTGCTTCAAGTCCTCAATAGAGTAAATGTCGTGGTGGGGAGGAGGAGAAATGAGACCGACACCAGGGGTGGAGTGACGAGTGCGAGCAATGGACTTGGACACCTTGTGTCCAGGAAGCTCACCACCCTCACCGGGCTTAGCTCCCTGGGCCATCTTGATCTGAAGCTCGTCAGAGTCGGCGAGGTAGGCAGAGGTGACACCGAAACGGCCAGAGGCGACCTGCTTGATGGCAGAGCGCATAGTGTCACCGTTGGCCAAGCGCTGAGAACGCTCAGGATCCTCACCACCCTCACCAGTATTGGACTTGCCGCCGAGTCTGTTCATGGCAACAGCCAAGGTGGAGTGAGACTCCATGGAGATGGAGCCGTAAGACATGGCACCCGTGCAGAAACGACGGACAATCTCTGTCCACGGCTCAACCTGCTCAATGGGGACGGGAGTGCAGTCTTCAAACTTGAAGTCAAGCATGCCACGGAGGGTGCAAGCCTTGATCTGCTCGTACTGGGACTTGGAGTAGGCCTCGTAGGACTTGTCGTTCTTGGTGCGAACGGCATCCTGGATGTTGGCAATGCAGGTAGGGTCGTTCATGTGAGCCTCACCACCGTCACGCCAGTGGTATTCGCCAGACTCAGGGAGACCAGAGACACCAACGGTGTAGCGAGAGGGGAAACCACGCTCGTGGAAGCGGAAACCATCCTCAGCAATGAGCTCGAAAGTGGAGCCCTGGATACGGGAAGCAGTGCCCTTGAAGCAGCGCTCAATGACTGTCTCGTCGAGACCGAGAGCCTCGAAGATCTGAGCACCCTTGTAAGAGGCGAGGGTGGAGATACCCATCTTACTCATGACCTTGAGGATACCACCATCGCAAGAGTGCTTGTAGTTGTGGATGAGAGCCTCATCAGAGAGCTTCTTCTTAATAAGCTTCTCGCGGTTCAGCTTAAGAATGCACTCCATGGCCAGGTACGGGTTGACAGCATCGGCACCGTAGCCGAGAAGGACACACATGTGGTGCACCTCACGAGCCTCGGCAGTCTCGACGACAATCGCAGCCATGGAACGCCACTTGTTGCTGACCAGGTGATGGTGGACCATACCAGAGGCAAGAAGGGCGGAGACGGGGATGCGGTCCTTGGAGGTGGCGCGGTCAGAGAGGACAATGATGCGGTCCTTGTTCTCGATGGCTGCGGTGGTCTCGTTGCAAATGTAGTCGAGGTGGCGCAGGTAGCCCTCAGTGCCCTCGCTCTTGGGGAAGGTCAGGTCGATGACCTTGACAGTCCACTCGGGGTGGATGCTGGCCATGTTCTTGAGCGAGTTGAACTCGGGGATGGAGAGAATGGGGCTGGGCAAAAGGAGACGGCCGCACTGAGAGCTGTCCATCTCAAGGAGGTTGCCCTGAGGACCAACGTAGCACTCCAGAGACATGACGATCGACTCACGGATGGGGTCAATTGGAGGGTTGGTGACCTGGGCGAAGAGCTGACGGAAGTACTCGTACAGAAGGCGAGGAGCCTGAGACAAGCAGGCCAGAGGGGCATCGTTGCCCATGGATCCAAGGGCTTCCTTCTCGTCAGAAGCCATAGGAGCCAGCAACAAGCTCACCTGCTCGTGAGTGTAACCGAAGGCCAGGAGAAGAGGATCCTCCTGCAGACGCGTAGCGTCGGGCTTGGCCGCAACATCCACGGTCTGGCCCACAGTCTCGAGAACCTTGGGCAAGGTGATGAGCTCCTGGTCAATCCAGGCGCGGAAGTCTTGGCGGCTGGAAACAGCCTCCTTGAGCTCCTTGTCGTCGATGATGCGACCGGCAAGAGTGTCAACGAGAAGCATACGACCGGGCTGGAGGCGACCCTTCTGAATGACCTTCTCAGGCTCGACGGGGATAGTGCCGACCTCAGAGGCGCAAATGATGCGGTCGTCGTCCATGACGTAGAAACGGCAAGGACGGAGACCGTTACGGTCGAGGTTGGCACCGCAATAACGGCCGTCGGCGAAGGTGAAGAGCGCGGGACCGTCCCAAGGCTCCATTTGGCAAGCAGCCCACTCGTAGAAAGCAGCCTTCTTGGGGTCCATGTGGGTGTTGCCTTGCCAAGCCTCGGGGACCATGAGCATGACAGCCTCAGGGAGGGACAGAACACCGTTGATGGTCAGGAGTTCCAAAACGTTGTCGAAAGCAGCGGAATCGGAGCCGCCATCCTCAACAATGGGGTAGAGCCCCTCGAGCTCCTCGCGGAAAATGTCAGACTGCATGACACCCTCACGAGCTCTCATCCAGTTCTTGTTACCACGAAGGGTGTTGATCTCACCGTTGTGGGCAGCCCATCTCAAAGGCTGAGCACGATCCCATGAGGGGAAAGTGTTGGTCGAGAAACGAGAGTGGACAAGGGCAAAGTGAGCCTCGTAGTCGGCGTTGACCAGATCATAGTAGTACTGGTAGACCTGGACGGGGGCCAGCTGTCCCTTGTAAACAATGTTCTTGTTGGAGAGGGAGCAGAGGTAGAACCAGTTCTGGAGGCCGATAGTGTGGGTTGCTCGCTTTCTGAGGACATATAATTGTCTTTCGAATAGTCTGTCATCAAATTGCTCGGGATCGGTGTTCTCGGGAGCGTTGCCCTGGCCGTAGGCGGAGGTCAAGACGACGAAGGGCTGCATGATAATGGGCTCACGAGACTTGGCAGCAGGACCAAGCAGAGTCGAGTCAACAGGAGGCCTTCGCCATCCCAAGACACGCAGGCCTAACGATTCGGCAATATCTTCCAACTGCCTCTTGGACTCTTGCAGAGTCTCCTCGTCTGGCTTAAAGAACAGGTTTCCCGTAGCATATTGTCCCAGAGGGGGCAGCTTAATGCCCTCCTCCTTTTCAAAGTTCTTGATGAAGAACCTGTGGGGGATCGAAGTCATGACGCCAGCGCCATCACCGTCTCGTGCATCAGATCCCACAGCACCTCTGTGGGTCATGTTGCAAAGCAGGTTGCGCGCTGTAGGAGCGGTTAGCTGGAAATCCTGGGGATGTCTGAAGCGTCAAGCTTACCATCGCTGACGATCTTGTGGCTAGGCTTGCCCTTGATGTGGCTGCAGAAGGTCAGCTGCAACGTTCCAAGAAAGTCAGTAGTCATGACCATGAACATACCAAGCAAAGCCGACACCGCATGCATCTTTTTCTAAGCTCGGATCATACAATCCTCTGCAATCTCGTGTCAGTCTCTATCCAAGTTGTACCTCGAGTGGTCGCACATACTGCTTCACCGGCAGAGCACCCGCCCATGAGTCGTTGTTCTCTGTCTGATACTCATAGGGAGTGTATTGCTCTTTTTTAGATTCGATGTGGATTTGTCGGTCGTCGAAATCCTCGGGCAGGCCCATGCTAGGCGAGGATTCGAGCCTGTGTATCAATGAAAAGGCTGGTATAGGTCGGCGAGGGAGCGACTATTCCAGTCGTCGGCAGGCGATCGGCAGGAGCAAAGGCTCGGTTACTGATCTGTTCAAAGCAGCGAACGCAAGTCAGCAAGGTGGAAAACGAAGTCGAAACTTTTGATAAGCTCGAAGAGACAAAGTGAAGGGCAATATCCGATGCTGAGCAGGAGCATCGCACAGAGGAAGCGAAGAGACGTTCGCATATGCGAGACAGAGGTAGGTAGCAGACAGCCAATGCGATTGTTTGACAGAGATTTTGGCGACAGAGAAGGGTGATGGCGGAGGGTAATGTTGGAGAGATCCAATGCGGGGTGATTTCTTTCAATTAAGCTCGAGCTGATCCAGGGACGCACGGTGGAAGATAGGAGTCGGGTTTTTTTCTTCTGGAGTAGCGGAAACTCTACTCTCGAACCGGCGTTTGTGCAACGTCTCCCGAGAAGAGGCAGCTCCGGGTCATGAGGGTGCCTGTAATGGTTCTAGTCGATATCGCCGTAAGCTCAGGGCTTCCGGACGGAATTTCCGACAGACACAGGCAGAAGCAGCAAGTGGCACTTGTACCCAAGCAAGCAGGCAATGGCCTCAGGAATGACGGCGCCAGCAGCAAGCAGCGGGAGCAAGCATCGAAGCATTGTTGATATGCAAGCCGGACCAGGATTGAGGGGGAGGGGCAAGCTCCAGAGCAAGCCACAATCAGCAGCATCCGCAAGACAACTCAGCTCAGACAAGGTCGCAGAGCAGAGGAGAGCAGGCAAAGCTGCGCATCCCTACACTGGACCAGGCCGACTGCAGCAGACTGCATAGAGACATTGGGATGATTGCAGAATGCAGACCGCGGTGCCGACCGGGCCCCGCGGCGCTCATGTGCCAGTGGCCAATGGCAGGCGGGCTAATGGGAAAAAAGAGTGTGCGGCTAACGATGCGTGACGCCAGTACCCGTCTATCAGAGACGGACAAGCATCGCACACACCCGACAGGCGACACACCCAAATTGCCATGCCCATGTAGCTGCGCTAGCTGTGTGCTAGGCCGCCACCGGCCGACTGCCCCTCCAAGAATTTTTTTTCTCTCCCTTGGTGTTGTTTTGGCTTCGGCTGATAGGCGACTGCAAGCTCCATTCCCGCGGTGACCTTACATCACTGCCACAGGGATTGCGACCAGGGGTCGACGTCTGGACCTGGGGGTGTGTGGGGTCGTCTCGCAGTCGTAAGCGCAAGCCCCCCCAAAAAAGAGCATGTGGAAACAGGCGCCGCGCAGAAAAGTGCGGACGGAGATGCCCAAACCGATGGGGACGGCACGCGATTGGGATTGCTGCTATCTGATTGCCATGGCTGGAGTGGGTGCTTTTGCTGTCGCTGTTGCTGTTGCTGTTGCTGTTGCTATTACTATTGTTGCTGCTGCTTGCGCGGGACTGTTGGGCATCGCTGTGTAAACCGCCGTTTTCGTCTCGGGAGCTGTGTCTCTGTGGAACTCTATGTCTTGGTCCTAGGTCCTATGCCGTGTGTGTCTGTCTCTCTCGTCGTTCTCTCCGAATCTGTCTGTCTCTGTCTGTGTGGTGTCTCCTCTCTGGCGTCGTTCTCTTGCTCTACGCGACCTTCGGTGCTGGTTTGTTCCGACCGATTGTGTTTGTGTGTTTGAAGGGCAGGTAGGATGAACGTGGAAGTGGCATGGAAACGGGCTCGGATATCAAGGCTGGGCTTGAGTTCCGCGTGTCTATCTGTGAGCACTTATCACTTACCGGCGAGCGTTGTGTATTTGAAAGGACCAAATGGTCAAGCTGGATGCGCAATGGTATCGAGAGGGTTTATTTTACTACCGTCGAGGCACCGCGCGAGAGGAATGGGAGGGCGAAAGAGGGAGGAAAGGAGGGCAGAGGTGGGAGGAGGGAAAAGAGCAACCTTTTATGAAAGGGACGGTCCTAGCCCAAGAGGGTGTGTGTGAGTGCAAGGTGGGATGGACAGAACAGGAGTTGATGGAGTCCTGAGTCGTCGCTGGCAACGCTGGGTCCAAGCCGGGGGTGGTTGGACTGGACGGGAGGGGAACGGATTGGAAAGGGAAGGACTCTCACTCGCCAGCGGCCACCCGACGAAGACCACAAGGGATCACAGACCAGACGGAGCTAAGGCAAATTGGATGAATAAGACGGTTGTCGATGGAGACAATGGGTGGACACTGTCGATTCTGGAGCCTGGCGAGCGGAGGCACAGAGTGAGCACGAGAAGGAGGGAAAGAGAAAACGAGAGCAAGATGCGGACTAAGAGCCGAGCCACGGATGAGGCGCCGAACAAGAACGACAACACCCGGCAAAGAGTAGGCCATTTCTCGGGATATTGGATACAATTCTTTTTCCCTTTAACCCAGCGCAAGATGGCTATTGGGGGGGTTAATTCGGAATGGGCCGTGGCAATGCAAACCGAACTGGTCCGCTGCTGCAAGTAGACTGAGAGGACTCTAGAGGCGTAGTGCAACGGAACGTCCGCCTCCTGGAGTGTCCATATGCCTCATCCCCTCCCAATTTGCGGTGCAGACGAGACGAGACGGAACGGAAGATGGAGCCAGCACAGGCTCATGCTTTCTACTGAGTGTGCCAGTGTAGATATGCTGCGGCTTTCGTTTTCGCTGGATACTGGCAAGAGGGGCCGAAATGGTGGGCAGTGGGGGTTTGCAGCGTGATGGAAACGGTACGTATCTTCTGCAGAATGCTGCGAAAGCGACAGAGATGGGACGGGATGGGATGGGGGGAGGGGGACTGAAGGGTGGTACGTACACGCTGGGTAAGGCTCCGTGGACGGCGCTTGACGTCTGTGCGCTGCAGCTGCTGTGGTGCTGTTCCTCCCACTCGGGGGAGTCGGTCTTTCTCTGATTCACTCTCCTCCAGACTGCCGCGTCGGTGGGGACGGAGCCAGCCAATCAGCCATGGGCTCAATCCAACAACATCGTCTCTCATTGGTGGGGTCCAAACAGCATCTCTGACTCTTCCTCTCCGCCCCGCCTCCGGTCGGTGGCTGCGTCGCTTCCAGCTCCGTTTTTCGGTCCATGTCTCTTCAGTGGGCTGTTCCACCCTCTTCGCTCCCCTGCCTCTGATGTTGCCATTTTTGCCCATGTTACCCTGCTAGCTTTCCCTGTCTGCCATGGACTGCCCAGACAATCCAGGGCTGCTGAACTGCCACCCTGCAATGAACCTTGGAATTTCTTCCCCTCGAGTGGCCTGTCCATGGCGAGGACGGCCTGCAGGTGGACCGTCCAGCGCACGATTTGCCCCTCCATGGTGCTGTTCGGTGCTGTGCAGTGCTGAGGAAAGAGGAGGAGGACACCCGACTGCTGTTAACCACATGCCAGAAAACAGCGCACATCGGCTGGGAGGCGCTCTTCATCGACACGACAACACCGTCACTGATCTGCTAAGCGGCCAACAGCAAGCAAGCATAACACCTCTGCCCATCATCCCGCAGATGCCCTACTACCTTACGTCTGTACTGCGTACGCAGCACACGTACCGCCGTATTGGACGCAGCAACAACCTGCTCGCCGGGATGCTCTTGCTTCCCTCCTTCTCAAAGGTTCAGACTCTTGCCGCGGATGGCTAGGAACGGAACGACACCACACATACCGGTGCACCACCATTCAGCATACATTCTGCTCATCTCCGGCCACGTCAACCTCGATCGACTTTCCTCCGCGTCGACTCACCCATCACCCTTTGGCCGACAATATCCACTCGTTCGATTCGACTTACCATCTTCGCCATGTCTTACCCTCTCTGTCGATGCTCTCCTCTCCAACAATACACGAGTTCCGAAAACCTTCGTCCCCAGACGCCTCCATAGACAATACGTCTCTGTAATTTGTGTCCCCATGCGCCGCAACAACGTCCCCAACAACAAATGGCTCACCCACCACAACGGACGTGCCAACGTTGCTCTGCGGGGTCCAACCCTGACCGTTTGAGGTTCCCTCACGCCGTGCTGCCAGTCTCGCAGCGCTTGGCCCCATATTCTACTGCTCCCCTTTTTCTCATCAGTTGAACGACACGGGGCCTAACCGCAACCACGAGGCATAACACCAGCACAACACTGACTGCCTGACGTTCTACCTCGCCGCCTCGTCTGGGGGAACATAGATGTTGTCCGCAACGCGCCCAATGCCGCCAGGTCGATGTTGCTAGACTCGTCTTGCAATAATGCCCGATCCACAGCCAGCCCCTAGACCGACAGTCGTTTCTTCTAATTCTGCTTCGTTTTGCGACGTCGTCCGCCCCGGCACTGTACACTGGACTCGGCTCATAGTATCTTTCGGATGCCATTTCGCCTCCTCACGTCGCCGCCTGCCCTCCGAGACTCCGTCGCCAATGGAGACGTCGCCAATTCAAATCAGCAAGAAAAGATCTGTCACTTGCTAGCAATTCCCACAGCCGCTCGCTAGGGTCCTTAATGGGCGGTTATGCCGTTTTCTTTCCCTGGTCTTCGTTTACCCGCGGGCAACCGGCGGCTTGGTTCGACAACTCGACAGGTCGAGCTAGTGGTAAATCAGCTAGACCGTATTGTCTGCCATCTCAGCCGTCGACACGAGGAATAATTCTGACCGCGTGTTTGGGCAGTGGCTAAGATTTCCCGTGGGCTGATGCTGAAGGTCGAGACAACCAACGCCCAGCTCGTTCCTACCGTCCTCTTCAGTCGACTTTCAAACTACGTACAATTCGCACAATTCTGTTCGTGACCGCCAGCAACTTGGCTTTTGGCTACGCATGCCAAGGGTCTACCGATTTAGCCAGCCTCTCGCGTTCTTCCCCGGCGGCAGAGCAATTGCCTGATAATCTTCGTTTGGTGTCCCTAGGCGAGCTGTCTTCCAGTCAAGTGTTGTTTGCGACAATAACTTGGTGTAAGAGAAATTCAGCAGAGAAACCCAGCGCTTTGGCCAAATCCAGCGACGGAGATGCACCCCACACACCGCAT